TATATATATATACATATATATATATATATACATATATATGTATTGTATATATATTAAATATTAAAAACGAATCTAATTTTTATCTAAATTTTACTATACATTTTTATTTTAAAAACTTTTATTTATTTTATTTCATTTACAATTTTTTTATTTATTTTAAAACGGTATACTACCGTAAAATTACATGTAATGTCCAATACAGTTTTTCACCGTATATAGTAGGAGAACTTACCGTTAACCATTTAACAGGTAGCATTTTTACAGTCTTTTACCGTTAAATTCAGAGCTGCACATTTTTTTTACAGTGCAGCTCTGTTGCTTTGGTTGTGGAAAGTTGGTGTTTCTCTTCTCAGCGGTGCGGTTTAAGCGTGCTGGCATGTGCTTTGGCATCGCTGTTGTTGTGCGGATTAACGTCTTCTTTATGAGCCGCTTATTGGAATTCTTCATCTAATGAAACTATATGAACTCCAGCCGCTCCACAACTCTGACTTACATTAATCAGACACTTCGCTGGAATAACCAACCATAAAATTAATGGTGGTTGAGGCAAAAATGCCACCAAAATTAACAAAAATGTTCCCGAAATTCAAGATGAGAGGGCAAAAATGCCCCATTGCAATTAAAATTAATCTTAATTTTAATTATTTTAGACTTATTTTACAATTTTATATATATATATATATATATATATATATTTTACTATACATTTTTATTTTAAAAACTTTTATTTATTTTATTTCATTTACAATTTTTTTATTTATTTTTTTAAATTTTTTTTTTACTATAGATTATTTATTTTATTTACTATGCATTTTCATTTGTTTTATTTTAATATTAATTTTAATTTATTGTTATTTATTTTCGGATTTTTTTATGTCACATTTGTGTATTGTTTATTTACTGTTTGTTTGTATTTATTATTTATTTAGTATTTTGCTATTCTTTTAAAAATGTAGTTTATTTACTATTCAGTTATTTATATTTTTGTGCTCTTCTTTGTTTTATTTATTTATTTATTTATTTAAATTTACTATTTATTTATTTATTTATTTATCAATTAGATTTTTATTGTTATATCATACATTTATGTGATTATAATTAGTTTCTCTGCAAATATTATTCAAGAATAATATTTATTAAAGCAGTTTGTCATTTAACAAGAGGTGCAGCATCTTAAAATGTTATTAATTTATATTTGTAATAATTATTCTTATGGAATAGTTCATTTCCGCCGCTGGTTGTGATACATTTATGGTGCTTTAATGGCTTTTGGAGCTCATTAGAGTGAGTAGACCTTGATTTTTGGGTGAAATCTTCCTTTAAAGGTGCGTCTGCATCTCTGTTGTGCAGACGTGACGCTGGATCTGGGTCATGCATCAAAGAGCTGAAGATGAAAAAAGCTTGACTAAAGGTGTCCTTGCCTTCGGTTCAATCTGATAACAGTCTGATGTTCAGATACCGAACGCTTTCAGTGACAGGAATCTGCTGCAGTTGTGACTATTAAACTCAGATTGCATAAAGAGTACAAATATAATATGTGAGCCTGGAGCACAAAAGCAGTCTTAAGTCGCTGGGACTTTATTTTTGATTAGTAATATGCATTGCTAAGAACTTCATTTGAACAACTTTAAAGATGATTTTCTCAATATTTAGATTTTTTTGCACCCTCAGATTCCAGATTTTCAAATAGTTGTATCTCGGCCAAATATTGTCCTATCCTAACAAACCATACATCAATGGAAAGCTTATATATTCTGCTTTTAGACGATGCATAAATCTCGAAAAATTGACCCTTATAACTGCTTTTTTGTGGTCCGGGGTCACAAATAATATGTGCTTGTATTTTGAGCATTGTTACGTTACTATGGTGTTCTGTGCCGTTGCTAGGTGTTTTTTTTCTCTTGCTCACGTCTCTAGATGAGCAGGACTGAACTTTAATGCTCAGTATTATGGATTGATGACTGTGAGCATCAGTGACTGAAGAAACACCTGTAATGTAGACTGAAATCATGAGTTAATGCTTAAATAAGCCTGCCGTTGTTAAGTGCGAGCGATTAGAGATGCAAAGATCTAAGCGTGTGCTGGATTGCAGGGTGTTTTGCATGTCACGGCCGGACTAATGAGTCATGCTCAACACCTCGCTCTCAGCTTCTGTCCTGAAATAGACACTGATAGCTGCTGCTCCTTCATTGCTCACTGCAGATCTCGGCTGTGTTTAGGTTAAGGATCAACTTTGTCTTGGATGTTTCTCTTAAAATATCTCAGGGGAGATAAAAACAGACCCAAGTTACGAGTTGTCATCCAGTAAGAGTGTAGAGTAATGTTGTTATTGTTAACTATTAGAAATGTTGTTTAATAGTATAATAGTATGTAAGTAATACTAAAATCGTCTATGAAATAGATGTAAAGCTATACAATAAAAATGGTGCAGCTCAGATCATTTGATGAGGAAAAAATATAAACTTGTTTTATTTCTAAGTTTATTTGTATTTTTGGTTTAACTTGAAGTGCTAAAATAACTAAAACTATAACAGTAATAAAAATTAATAAAAACTCTGTACACGTTTATATAAAAAAATGTATAAAAAAATGACAAACAGAATATATTAATAAAAAACATATTCAAAACATGAATTATTATTAACTAAAACCAAAACCAATTTAAAAAATGCGTTACTTAAATGTATATGAGCAAGAATTAAGTTGTAGTTTTAGTTATTTTAGCAATTCAAGTTATTTTATCACTTCAAGTTAAAAGAAAATGAGCAATTAAATAAGTTAAAATTAAATAAATAAAAAATACATACATATAAATATATTATATATTACAATATATACGTATTTTTTAATTTCTAATTTTCTCTTAACTTGAAGTGCTAAAATAACTAAAACTAAAACTTAAATAAAATATCAAAAACTATATACACATAAAAACTATTTAAAATGACAAAAACACAACAAAATGACTAAAACTGTACGTAAACTTAAAAAAAAAAGTGCCCTTGTGCTGTTTCTTCTCCTTTTAATCTCTTTTAATCTTAGTGCTTTTTAGGATAAACTGTATTGAGATATTAAAGAGTGAATTTCACATGTGATTTATCTCATGAATCATCTAATCATATGATCATGACCCGGATCTGTCATTAATCTAAACGTTTGTGTCCTGAAGGCATTTTGAGTCAGTGAGGTGTGTGTGTGTGAGAGTGTGTGTGTGTGAGAGAGTGTCAGTGTGTGTGTGAGTGTGTGTGTGCGTGTGTGTGTGAGAGTGTGTGTGTGTGAGAGAGTGTCAGTGTGTGTGTGAGTGTGTGTGTGCGTGTGTGTGTGAGAGTGTGTGTGTGTGAGAGAGTGTCAGTGTGTGTGTGAGTGTGTGTGTGCGTGTGTGTGTGAGAGTGTGTGTGTGTGAGAGAGTGTCAGTGTGTGTGTGAGTGTGTGTGTGCGTGTGTGTGTGAGAGTGTGTGTGTGTGAGAGAGTGTCAGTGTGTGTGTGAGTGTGTGTGTGCGTGTGTGTGTGAGAGTGTGTGTGTGTGAGAGAGTGTCAGTGTGTGTGTGAGTGTGTGTGTGCGTGTGTGTGTGAGAGTGTGTGTGTGTGAGAGAGTGTCAGTGTGTGTGTGAGTGTGTGTGTGCGTGTGTGTGTGAGAGTGTGTGTGTGTGAGAGAGTGTCAGTGTGTGTGTGAGTGTGTGTGTGCGTGTGTGTGTGAGAGTGTGTGTGTGTGAGAGAGTGTCAGTGTGTGTGTGAGTGTGTGTGTGCGTGTGTGTGTGAGAGTGTGTGTGTGTGAGAGAGTGTCAGTGTGTGTGTGAGTGTGTGTGTGCGTGTGTGTGTGAGAGTGTGTGTGTGTGAGAGAGTGTCAGTGTGTGTGTGAGTGTGTGTGTGCGTGTGTGTGTGAGAGTGTGTGTGTGTGAGAGAGTGTCAGTGTGTGTGTGAGTGTGTGTGTGCGTGTGTGTGTGAGAGTGTGTGTGTGTGAGAGAGTGTCAGTGTGTGTGTGAGTGTGTGTGTGCGTGTGTGTGTGAGAGTGTGTGTGTGTGAGAGAGTGTCAGTGTGTGTGTGAGTGTGTGTGTGCGTGTGTGTGTGAGAGTGTGTGTGTGTGAGAGAGTGTCAGTGTGTGTGTGAGTGTGTGTGTGCGTGTGTGTGTGAGAGTGTGTGTGTGTGAGAGAGTGTCAGTGTGTGTGTGAGTGTGTGTGTGCGTGTGTGTGTGAGAGTGTGTGTGTGTGAGAGAGTGTCAGTGTGTGTGTGAGTGTGTGTGTGCGTGTGTGTGTGAGAGTGTGTGTGTGTGAGAGAGTGTCAGTGTGTGTGTGAGTGTGTGTGTGCGTGTGTGTGTGAGAGTGTGTGTGTGTGAGAGAGTGTCAGTGTGTGTGTGAGTGTGTGTGTGCGTGTGTGTGTGAGAGTGTGTGTGTGTGAGAGAGTGTCAGTGTGTGTGTGAGTGTGTGTGTGCGTGTGTGTGTGAGAGTGTGTGTGTGTGAGAGAGTGTCAGTGTGTGTGTGAGTGTGTGTGTGCGTGTGTGTGTGAGAGTGTGTGTGTGTGAGAGAGTGTCAGTGTGTGTGTGAGTGTGTGTGTGCGTGTGTGTGTGAGAGTGTGTGTGTGTGAGAGAGTGTCAGTGTGTGTGTGAGTGTGTGTGTGCGTGTGTGTGTGAGAGTGTGTGTGTGTGAGAGAG